ATATATATATATATATATATCTTTACCGTCTTTTATGATTTTATATTATTTAAAAAATATCAAGCTACCAAATATTTTATTTTATACTTCTAATTTTTATTAATGGATACCTTAGTTGATATTCTGCCTCTGAAGATAGCAGCGGCAGTAAGAAATTGTCCGTTTCTAGGATCGCAATTGATAAACATGCTTTCACTTTTGAACATATCTTGAATCAATGTTCTAACCTTTCCTTTTTTGCGAGCAAACCTATGCTTTGGTATTAGGGGTACGTATCCAGGCACGAAAAAGTGCAGTCGTGGAAACGGCACCATATTCACCAGGAGCTTTCTGAGCCCTGCATTTAACTGACCTGGAAACCTATAAACAAACAAGTAATATGAAATGAATAAAAATCTCTTTTGAATTTTCCGAATGTGAAGAATGAAAATTCTTTTACAAAAAATATTTTTTTCTTAATACGCTGTAATATTAAAAGCTTAATAGTATTAAAGTTTTACATTTAATTAAACGGCGAAATTCTTAAATATGCAGTCATTTCTACCTTAAACACGCTGTGATTCCTGACATGCAGAGAGAAATTAAATGATTTATCTCGGGGTAGAAGTCTTTATTTGGTACGATATTCAATCTGTCGGAGCAAATGCGGCTCATAGCGTCGTTACTGATGCAAAAAACCTCGTGGATGCAATCGATCAAGTAGGGAATCGTTAATACCGCGTTGTAAGGTTGTGTTATTATGTCGTCCTGTGATGATGGCATCAATGTGTAAGATTTCAGAATTTTATTGGGATATTCGTCCATTATGTATAGGGCGAACAAACTGCCGAAGCCTGATCCAGCACCACCGCCCACAGCATGCACAATCTGTATACCTTTGTTAATAATATATATAATTATTAATCTTTTTTACTAATTTAGAGAGCAAAAAGATTGCTCTAAGCAATGAAAAAAATAATATATAATTAAACGTTTATGATAATAATAATAAAATTGAGAGAGAGAGAGAGAGAAATAGATGAGTTAATAGTAATAGTTTAGTAATAATAGTAATTGATAGCCTAATTTTCTTCTCTCTGTTCCTCTCATTTTAATCAGCTGAAAAGCTTTAGTAGCAAATAGATGCGTTGATTTTCTTAACCGCTTAAGCAATATCAAATTCTTCGCCGAGGCTATTAAACTTTCAACCTTGGACCGAATCGCAGGCCTCGACTTCCGTTCGCACGATCTTCAAGGCTTCTTTCAGGATGTCGGCTCCTTCGGTGTAACGACCTTTGGCCCAATTGTTATTAATCCCGGATTTGCCGCACACTACATTCTCGACATTAAATAGCGAGTTAGATAACACGTAATGCACATTGCTGCAATCGAAATCAAGCAGTATAGCTCTGGGCACGTATCTTTCATCTAGAAAAAAAA